CATGAGGRAAATTGGAGTTCCTTTGCCTTCTATACTTCCCTAATGCCGTGCACAATGAAAATATAGTAGACTAGATACCCCTCAAAAGAATTTCTACTGAAAACAGGTCTCCTACACCATATGGCACTAGCATGTCTTGCATGTGGGACATTGTTTACCTAACTGCGCATGCCTGTGCACTTAGTTAAAAAAAACGAAAATGTCTATGACAGATTTATTCGCAGTCACATAAAAAATATAATAAAAAATCACTTGTTTAAAATCGTTTGCTATAGCACAACATTGCACTTACACTTTTGCCAACTCAAAATGAAGCATCGAAAGAAATAGCGTTATTAAAATACAGCAAAACTGATATAATCAATCTTAATTTATTGAACTTAGCTGTCTGTTCTAAACGAAAACCTCTCAGACATGTTGTTTGAGCATTGTATACGAATTTTAATTCTGCGATATAAATATCTTTTGTACCCTTTTGTACAAAACAAGTGTGAAATAGTACTAACGAACAAATGTTGAATCAATTACACAATGAAGACAAACTAATGTGTTTGAAAACTATTGTTTGATTACATCATTATCAAGCCTAGGTGTCCTAGGTGTACAATACGCTAAGGAGCTAGTTATGCATTTTGGCGGCATTGTTTACGCTTCCTTGACTAGAAAACTGAACATGATATCAAAGATGTTTCCTTACTTCCTCRCCGATAATARTATTACAWARTAATACCATGTCACTCGTGAAATTAGTGATTAAATTTCCCCGATACCTCGGGAAAATTTGTAAAAGTCCCTCGGGCTGCGCCTTCGGGACTTCAACAAATTTTCCCTCGGTTTCGGGGAAATTTAATCACTAATTTCCCTCGTTCCATGGTATTACTTATAATTAATGAGACAGAAAGAGCATTTATTTCTTTACTCCAACAATAGACCAGCAGTTGAAACGTCAATACTCTTTCTATTTTAATTTATCACAAATCCCCCCCCCCTCCAGTTCCTAGTTTTTTCATCCTAATTAATATAGTAGATCAATAAATAGATACCTGAGATTCACCAATGGATAGTCCAATTCAATTTGATTCAAGATCTTTTAAAATATTAATATTTTTTAATGTTTGTTCATCAGTATGTTGGTCTTGGATCAGCTCTTGCAATGGGTCTCGATGCTGTTGAAAACAGTCTTCTAGGAGACCAAAGTAAGTTCAACAATATTTACTTTTTCACTCTCATTCCATTTATTGGACACTCTAGTGATAGGGGGTGTGCGACCTGAGACTCTTGCTCACTTGAATTCTTATCCATTTTCGTGGTGTGTATCAGCATCTTAGGAGATATACACCCTCCCCCCCCCCCCCCCCCCCCCCTCCCTGAAGAAAATCCTGTATCTGCCCATGAGTATCTGGTATTTTGGTTTTAGTTTTTGTGCTTTTACGTCTTCTGATTAGTTTTTACCTGTGTTTTCCAGAYGGAGAAAACAGTAGCAACCTCGGTGAACTAATAGCTCCACAAGTACCATCATCCAGTGCAGAGAGTAGAGAACCAGAGGCCAAAAAACCCAGGCAAAACTAGGATAGTTCCTTATAAGATAATGATTAAAACCATCAACTTGAAATCTTTAATCCAATTAGAACACATTGTTTACTATATTATTGACTAACAGTTGAATGGTTTTCTCTTATCGATAAACAGTATTAATAATTGAATAAAKGTCAAGTTCCATTGCACAACCTTTGCCTGTAGCATTCACAGATTGTATCAAATATGATATATCAGGCCTACAATTTACTATACTATGACATTTTTTTATTGTTGTTTCATCATGAGCGTTGTACATGATTGTAGCTCTAAAAGAGTATATTATTTTATCATTACGAAACAAGTGGTAACAAACACCATAAATTAAAAAAACTATCTGCAAGAACTGCAAAGATATGATAATGACAAGAAAAGAGAACTAGAGATTACCAAAGTATATAAGTATAATTTCTATCTCATCCTGGTCCCAGAGATTTCTAATCTTTGACGGATTAATCGAGGCTGGTGTGAAAATCAGAGATCAGGAGATCGCTAAGCCAATTTACTTAACACAGTGTCGATTTAAYTACTTAAATCTTCTGTTTTTGTTTTCTCTTGACACATGAGAAATCCAACGTTTAACACAATTCTTACTCATATAATATTTCTGATAAGTATAGTAGTGACACAAAGAATTGATTGGAGACTATTATGGTATACCAGTGTAACATCGTGTTAATCTTCTAAAGCAATTATTCTGACTTGTAAATAAACTATACAAAACAAGTGGTTTTATACAAATTTGAGTAGTTCCTTATTGGATACACTTGATTCCAACGAACTTGACATCTGATACAAGTTGAATACTCAGGCAAAAGTTGTGCAACTAATAAAAGGGCGTCAAGGGAATARATAAACACATCATTTTTTAAAAAGATAAAGATTTTTACAACTTTTAACCGTTCGCCATTAATAATGTTGAGAGTTTTATAATAATGCACACTTATTTATTGTGCAGTTTGTCTACTCTTACGTTGTAATATGTACATAAGTTCATCTGATAAAAACTTAATTGCTACCAAATTGAGTGGTTTTCAAAAACAAAAACACGACTTTAGTTTAACTCGACTTTCTTTATTGTGCACGTGTTTTTGCGTGCCGTTAGTGCCTCGCACTTTGTTCATTACTGACTTTGCCTCTCGTGTTTCTTGGAAATCATTCGAAGATATAATCAATATGGAAGTGTCTAATGACCCTCTTTCTAATTGCTAACAGTTTATGACAGGAGTGACTCAGACAACACCCTTCGAGATACAGAAAAAGTCAGACAAATCTCTTTCTCAAGTGGTTTTCGTAAAAACCCGTGAAATATATAACTCTCAGCGTGCTACTCTTTTATGAGGACTTTTGTAGGTAAATTTCACTTACACTTCATTTCACGGATTTACGATGACCACTGTATCATAAGCCAAGCTGTACTGCAATAAACTTACAACAACAAAAACCCTTGTGAACTCTCAGTATAAAATGTATAAATATTAAAAACATGAAATATTATAAACCCATTGTGTTTCTTTGCTTCAAACACAAAAATCCTCTTCTTCATTCCAA